CTATATACTGTATGCCTATATAAAAGAATCTGTAAAATCTCGTATTTATCTGTTTTGTTATTCACTCTGAAGTACAAAAGACATTCAAGGATAAAAACAAGCAAAATGTTTTGAATGGCATATTGTGTAACAAATAGGACCAATGATTAGCCCACTCTTAGCATAATACACATCCTTGATTTACTACAACGCTTTCATCGTTAGTAATTCAAATTAATTCAAGTCGATAATTGTATCAGGGCTCTGCTTTAGACATTGTGGGTCATAAGACAAGTTGCCTACGTGTACACTTCTTGATATACGCCATACACAAATTATTTTGTTGGCCACGCCTGACCGACTGAAAATTTAGAAAATTGAGGTTCGAAATTTTATATATATTTTTTTTTTACTACGACGAACAATAATTTTTTTTATAATCTAAAAAGGCTAGAAAAGCTTAGGACTAGGGTAGGGGACCTATTTTGCATAAACGTTGGGCGATGCGACAATATTTATGCGTTCGTTTTGCTTTCCAATGAGATATATTTTATGAAACAAACATTTATTATAGTTGTAGTAGGCTATAGTTTTTACTAGGTAACATTTTTTACGAGATCTTACCCTTGCCCTATTGTATTCTTCATAGTATTTTCTACTTTTTAGGCATAAACACATTTTTGGTGGTGTAAAAAACACCAACCAACCGATTTTTTTTCCCAAAACGTGGCCAACACAAGCATAAGAACTTTTTTCCCCCTAAAATGTTGCTGGGAGGTACTCATAGGTGGTACCTCGTATTCCTATTAGTATCGAACTCAAAGTCTTTTTCTATTTCTATAATCAAATCATATTTTAAAATATATGTATAAATGGATTTATATCTATGCGTATAACTATACACGCTTCAGAAGCGTCCAAAATAGGTAAAAAACACTTTAATAACAGTTATTTAACAAGTGAGTACCTTTCTTAATCATTAATTAGTTTATTAGGATACATAACAGAGTAAAAGTTTAACAGAAATAAAGTTTCAATTCCTCAGTTCACCATTTAGAATTACTAAAGGGTGAACTGAATCACTAGTGGTCTTAGAGATCAGTGAGGATATTATACGTACATACAAAATACCGGTACCTCATAAAATCATACTTTTATTTCCATACAATTGAAGTAATAAAAAGATGCAGTATAAAGTACAATAAGTAAAACAAATAGATTGTATGGAAGATGGCTACATAAGTTCTGCAAGAAAACTTCACGGTAACTTAGGACGTAGCCACCTTTTACAAAGAAGTTGCATTTACAAAGAAACCGGTACCAAATAGAAACAAAACATTTCAAAAGTAACACTTCAGAATATTTTTTACTTCAACAATAATCCGGTTGTACAATGGTTTTACGTTAACTATCAGTTTGATGACCATACTCTATACTTACGCCTTTGAAAATAAAGCTTATAACAAAGACTCCCATTTGACAATCAAGGTAAATCTTTTAAGGATGCATTATAAACAATTTGTCATTGTAGCAACCCAGCTCTAAATAGATAGATATTCGAACACACATACACCGACGTCAGCACCAGATCAACAACTGTTTAGAAGCACCGGTAACGTTAATATTAAATAGTGAAAAAGATGTTCAGGTTGATTCTGTTGCTTACACTCATCCCTGTGGCATCTGGTAACTCGGAAGGTGCCAATACAGGTGCATGCGCCAATTTAACACCTAGACATGGATCATTTTCAGCACAAACATCTACAAGCCCGTGGGGAATTTTTGTTGGTGGGCCATCTTATACACCGGGACAACCGTTTTCCGGTGAGTAATCGTAAAGTTCGTCTCTCTAAATGCATTTCTATAATTCAACAGTGAATGACATTATATAAATATCTAAAGCCATATCCAATCAAATTTTCATCGACAAGAAAAACCCTGCCCATATATAGTCATGATGTGCCTATATATGATCATGATGTGACGTCATCATGACCATATTTAGGCATCTCACATTTGTCAAATAAAATCTAACAGCCTGGACAGGGCTTAAAGCTTAATGAAGAATATTCAAAGACTGAGTTTCTTGTTTGCAATTATAGAAATGATAACAGTGGCGGACCGTCGGCTAAATTGTACAGTTATGATCAGTAGAGCTGCAATATTGTAGCTAGTGAGAAAAGTTCGATTTATCACATTAAAAGATTGTGATGATGTGTCAAGTAAAAATCCATTTTTTGTTCTTTTTTATTATACCTGCATGGTTGTAGTTTCTTCTTAAAAAATTTCCTATTACAAGCCTTTACATTTAACAAATTCAATCTTCCAATCTTTTATACTAGACTGACAATTTTCAGACTATTATTTTGACAGATGGAAATGCACGCATATTCTAACGCCACCATGCGGTTAAGAAAAGCAAATTTAACCACTCCCACAGCCTCCATTGGACTCGATAAGCGATTGGCTGGTATTGAATATCAAACACGGGGAAATTCTAAGCAGCTACTCGGGATAGACTGAATACGTTGATATACCAACAAAACTAGGCCTAAATATTGAAAACTAATAATATTTAACTTAGTTATTTCCTTGAATTGTAGCAACCAACTCTCAAAATTAGGTCAGCATAATTATTATATTTCACCTAAGAAATGCCAAGTAAGTCAAAGTAAAGATGCATTATGATTTTTCTTTGGATAGGCTTGGGTAGGCCTCTAACTAAGCAGTGCAAACCTTGTATAATTTGACGGCCCGACACTGACCGATGGTCCCGCTGGCCAGTACGGTAATGCCTCGGTGTTTTTAATCAGGGTATACACTTGATTCAGTTAAAATTGTGTCCCTAGGTTAGCAAAATCTTTAGAGGTTATCTGCACAATTTAAGGAGATACGCAGTATATAATTGTTGAGGACACGTCGTTCTGCTGTCAGAGCTGTTTTTGTTATGAATTTACTATATAGGCCTATATGAAATTTACACTACAGTTGTGTATTGAACACGTTCTGAATAGGCTGCAGAAATGAAACCTGCAAAACTCTGCTTCCCGCTCAGCATAGATTCATGCAAGCCTTTTACACGATCGGTTTCTCTTATTAAAAAGCTTGATGTTGTCAGTAAATATTATTGTCATAATGTAATTCCAACGAAACTTTCCATTACGTGTGTATTGCATGATTTTCATCTTTTATAAGCTAGCCTACATTGTTCCACAACCTCATTTGAAAATTATTCTGGAGTTTTTGGCGGCGGCGGCGGCGAGACGTACTCCGGAATGATTTCCCAATTTAAATTAAAGACAATTAATGACTTATTGACTAGACTAACCCGCCTTTTTCAAGGATCTCTGGCTAATGTTGTGTATATGTTAGCTTTGTTGTGCCTTAGTTTTTAATGCTTTGGTACACTCTGTATCTGTTTGTGTTTTTGTTGGGACTCTTGGCTGGCGCTTCGCAACTGTACGTTGCAAAGGGATAATTCATTTACTAATGCAGGTATATTTTATGTTCCAACAAATAATATTAAGGTAGGCATATATTATTTATTTATTTATTATTTATTCACATTTGGTAAAAACTAAGTTATATATTTCTATAATGAATATAAAAAGTAATATAGGCGTATTTAATCATATTCAGATTCAGATTTATTTTTGTCCTTGAGAAAACTCATTAATAGAAGAGAATTATTCAAAAATTAATCAACATGTTGCTTTCAATTCATACAAAAATTAAATATAAAATCATTTTGTATAGTTACTGTCCAGAGTACGGGGAGCCAGCAGTATAAAGGGTTACTTCTACAAGCTCGTCCGGTTGGAACTATTGCTCCAGTTGGAACTTGGACAACGAATGTGGCAGATACACAGCAGATGACGTGTTCAAATGCTAATGATGGTATCACTCATTCAAACAATTTTTTAAAGCCATTAACGTCAACATTTATCTGGCTACCGCCCTCAACAAGTGTTGGCTCTGTACAATTCCAGTAAGTATACACCAACCAGTCTATTTCTTAATGTAGGCCTGAGAATAGGGTAGCTAGCTACCCCCTATCTTTCATTTGAAAAATCCTCAGATATAGCCCTCCGTGACCAAATACAAAGTAACCTTTGTTTTTTTTTAGGCCTACATAGGCCTATACTTTGTATTTTTTTCTTAAACATAGGTCTACGCCATATATTCAATTCCCATTCCACACACATTCAATCAAACCATTGAACTACACATTTTCAAGCATTTATAATTTACAAGTGATTAACTTTCATTAAAAACACAAGTTAGTTTTTATACTTTTTGCTACGATAATTTAAATGGTTTGAAAGACAACGGCTGAAGTTACAACATGACCAATAATTAAAAATTTAATAACGGTTTAACTATTTAATGTTTTATTATTTGAATTATTATTATTAGTTCAGCACCACAAACAGTATGTATAAGTTCTACTGTTTTCTCTACTCTCTCCGTTCCACGCGCCTCAGGATATTGGTTAAGTAACAATTATTGTTGTGTCTTCTTAATAATGTAATAATAATAATAATAATAATAATAATAATAATAATAATAATAATAATAACAACAACAATAATAATAATAATAATAATAATAATAATAATAATAATAATAATAATAATAATAATAATAATAATAATATTGAAAATAATAATAATTTCAACAATAATAACGGTATATTTATATAGCGCATATTGCACATTGCCCCTATGCGCTTTACACAGAAATAATATAGGCCAACCGAGAAAATACAAATAACAATAAAATAATAACAATAAAATAAAATGAAAATAATAATCATAATAACAATGAGGCTTAACAGCTCCTACTCCTTAAACTAATTAATGGTTGGCCGTTGACTCCGAGGAACTCATCCGCCCAATAACACTAATAATAATAATAATAATAATAATAATAATAATAATAATAATAATAATAATAATAATATTATTGTGTTGTTGTTGTTGTTGTTGTTGTTAATTGTGAACTGATATAGCGCAGGTAAAATACCTCTATGCGTTTTACAGCAGCTCACCGAATTAAAAGAAAATAAATGAATCAAATAAAGCTTTGAACATACATGGTTATTTTACGACTAACTAAATACGATTAACTTTTTCCAGTGCAACATTTGTTGAGAGCTATTCAACTTTTTGGGTGGATGTTGTGTCAAGTGTCGTCACAGCCGGTGAGTTCCAATAGTATAAATCATCTCGTAGTTTATATATATAAGGTCACTTTATATAAACACTTAAACTTCCTATAAACTTTTATCTGAATTACACTTTACTTAGTATTGATGATCATTTGTACAGATAGTAGCCAAACAATAAAATATAAATTGAAAAACTGTTTATAAAATATATAAAATGCTGACAGTAATCCATATGCCGAAGTATGGCTGGTTTGGTTGATTTTCGAAACGCGGTTGAATGATTACAGGCTTCTGAAAATGCTAGATCATAACGTCGAATTTAATATTTAAAAAATCTGTAATGAAGAAATAAGACCTACATAACCATTGGCGCATTGTTTCTTTTTTTATTTTAAAGAAAATAAAAAATGAAAATTCGGTAGGATCTGTTAAAGATTAGTAAGGCAAAAACTGTCGTCCGGAAATCCAAAATATTCCTATTGACCTCCACAAAATAATGAAGCTAACATAATGGATGTAAATCGATAAACCAATGATCATCATCATAATCACTACCAACATTTTTTTTCATCTTGAGGAACCACGGCGTGTTCGAGTAACCCGTGTCAGAATGAAGGTATGTGTCTTACAAGTTCCGATGGGTACACCTGTACTTGTGTGTCTGGATATACAGGTGTTAATTGCGAGACAAGTTCTACCGGCAGTTAGTACATCATTTTTTTTCTTGGACAGTGGCTTGTTACTCCAGTATCAAAGAAATTTGTAATTCTGATTGGATGTTGTTGTATGTACGGTATCGATTGAATTAGGACATTATTAAAATCCAATCATATTTATGAATTGGTTTAAGACTGGTGTAAATAATAGCCACTGGCGATTTTTCTGTCCTTGATATTTGAATTTATTAACAATTGTTATTATCCGAAACTTAGGATGATAACGTTGGTAGACGAATTCGTCAGTGTTTCTGTGTCAGCTCTTGCCCGACGCAACGCCAGTCTGCCATCCGTCGGTGACAGTTTGTTGGACTGTCGTTTGTCACACGACGCGTCGTGCTTTAATATATAATAAGTTGCCGACGCAGTGTACTCCGGGCTGGTACTTCATAGTACAGTACAGTAATTCACCAAACTCCGCATACCATTCTTAGATCGATCAATTGTAGACACTCCTTAAAATTCCATGTACAATATAAACTAAGTGTCGTGTACCGTTAGACTCAGAAGGATCACACAATGGCATTACTTGATTGAATGGGCTAGGCCTAATAATAATAATACAAATACTGAAGAAATTAAACCCACAATCTCTTTGTTTGCCTGTCATGGTCTCTACCTTCATACATAACACTTTTGTTCATTTGCTCTACATTCCGGAGCTCTCCCGAGGTTTTTCTCTTAAACGTACTGTAAAACACGCTTAATTTAACTTATAAAAAGGTTACGATTTTCGGAGTGGACTTGTCACGACAACCGAGAAAAACGCTAGTAAACAATAGGTATTATTATAGGCCTAGGTCTAAATCTCTCACGTGATTATAAGTATCATCATCTAGACACCTGCACGCACGCACAGCCCACGAGTAGGCCTACATAACATTGCAATTGGCCTATACGTCTGTGCAGGGCCGCCAAGAGAATCTGTAACAGGGGAAAGGATTGGTGTGGGCCCCCAGTTACGAGCGCCAAGCGCGAAAAAAGATTGCGCAGAAGCGCAAACGTTCTTTTTTCGGGGTGGGGTGTCAATCTGGAGCGGTCCATTATTAGGTTACCCATGCCATTATTGAGGGTCCATGATATCAATTGTTCTTTTTAGAAAAAATATTGGGAAAAAAATGCTACCTGCAATTTCTCTGGTAAGCTTGGGCCCCGAAAATCTTTCTCCTGCCTCCCTCTCGGAGGCACTGCATCTGAGTGCGTGTATGTGCACGAGGTAGCCTGGATGTTGGTACTGTAACATCTAAGCACACCCCTTAAGCCCACGCGCACCCCATACCACACGCACACACACACAAACACACATGCTTGTATGGTATAATCAAACAAGATCTTATAAAGATTTCAATTTTGCACACATACACACACACACACACACACACCTGCTTGTATGGTAAAATCAAACAGATCTTATAAATTTCAATTTTGGCCCGGGCGATGGCTATAGCAAAATAATTATTATAAATGAATGTCTAGACGACCCTCGGGCAATTCACGATTTGTTTCTTTTGTTTCCACCGTTGTTTCTACAAACAATTGTTATCCTTGAGGACGGCTTTCGACAAGGTCAAATTTGTGAAGAGGTTTGCTTACAAGTTAAGTCTCTTTTTTTTAATTAAGAAGGACGATATTAACAAACGAAATAAAACTACAATGATGATGTGCTAGTTTATTCAAGATAAAAAATAAACCTGTCACTTGCAGACTTAACTAGGCTGAAATGCACACAGGAATGTACTAACTCATTCAACAGCTTTCTTCTCCCAAGGGTCAATCCCAATGTCCAATCAGCAGACAAGAGGCGCACTTGCGTCTGTCCATAATGACAGGGACTGAATGGAACCGGTACACTGGGATAAACCCCCTATTCTTCTCGAAGGATGTACTGATTCTTTAAAGTGCACACGAGCCAATTGTGTACACTGAGCCTTACGGTTTAGGTTCCTCATCCGGGAATTGTTCCACCATCAGCACAACAGTCGAGCGTGTCGTTCGAACCAGCGCTGATATGGCTGTAGGTTTCGCCCCACCCCCCGCCTTAACCGCTCGGCCATTCGACTGACCAAAATTGAAAGATAGTATTCAATGTTCTAATTGCTTACTTTGTATCTTAAATCATTACCTTCCAAAAAAAATCAGAAGGAATAAATAATTTCGAGTCGCCAATAATCAGCATAAATAATACCGTTTTCGTATATGTAAATGTATATTATATGTTTAAAACCGTTCAACTGCTGTTGGTACTTGATATAGTTTCAGAAATTGACTTAGCCAGAAAGCTGTTGTAGTCCTTCCTGGCGAGGTGTACGCCCAAGCACATGGTGGAGATTTTTGTTTGCTTTCATTTTAGTCCGATTCTTCTGTTACGTCTCATGCATGTTTCTTCATTGCATTAACAGGCTTAGATTGTTTCTGGGTTTATTGAATTTAGTGATCTTAACACCTAAATTATGTATATACGCTCATTTTAATATAGTCTTATTATCACTGTACCTCAAAAATATGAATCCAAACCCCCACCCCCTTTTTTTTTACCTTGTACATGCCATAGGTCATAAAGGCCATTCTCGGTTTACAAGAAATCCTCAGGAATTAATTGTTTTGATGTGAAAAAATTAAAAAATAGGCGGTTTACCGCTAACAAAAAGATTAAGACACCCTGGGATTTTGAATAATATAGACTATTTGGCCATAGATCCCCTGTGTTCTTTAGATTTGTTTCGCTGTATTAACTCAGAATACCGGTAGTGTAGAAATGTCGAAAAGAATTGTATAGAATTAACCTCACACGGTAATGCATTCATGTGAAGGCTGTTCATGGACATGCTGCACTTAAACTTGGTTCACCCTATAGGAATTTATTTTAAACAGTGCTGTGGCAGCTAAGCCAGTCACAACATTCAGTTTTTGTGTGAACAATTTGAATTTACACGCGTAAAAACACGCAAACGTATGAAAGAGTTGGCTGACGTACCCAAGCATCGATACAGTGCAGTATTTTACACAAGACTAGTGAGATATGTCTTGCGTTAATTTGCGTTTGAGTTTAAATTGTGCTAGTGAACCAAGCTTTAACTGTCAAAATAACAATATATGCTATAGGTCTAAACATATTTGTGTGTAGTCGGTAATGCTTGCTTTCCAACCCAAGGCCCTAGGTTTATTTTCTGTATTGGATTGATTTTCATGGCAGTCGATTTTCTGTGATGGTAAACCACTTGAATTTAAGCGCGAATCGCCACAAAACGGAGCATTCATTGTGCATGCATTGATACGTATACCGATTATATCACATTATGCATTGGTAAAATAAAATGTCCGGCTTACATAATAAAACACGAAGCTAACAAAAAATGTATTAAAGTATATCGTAGTCAATGTTAAATGCGGTCGTCGGTGCATCATTTAGTGTTTCGTTGCATTTAGCTTTGTCGTCACTGTTAATGTCAATGTTACTTATGATGAAGAGAAATTTAAAAAAAAACAAAAACAAAAACAAGTTATAAAGAAAAAGAACATTGTAAACGGAGACGTAGAAACAATGTAGGACTAAATCGGTGGTATATTGGAATGTATAGGCCTATTATTTTGTGTGTTATACAAAAACTATGATAATCACTACCGTACCACTAACACATTTATAGCGCCTTTCTTTTTAGATGCAAAGCGCTAGCACCCGTGTTGCGCTTCAGAAACTACAACAATTAGAAAATGCAACTGTCCAAGCCTCAACAGAAAATGAAGCTGTTTGGAAAATAATATAATAATTTTATATTAAAGTAATCTGCAATTGAAGAAAAACTAAATAAAGGTAAACACGTTAAGCGTACCTTGATTACCACGCGTGAAATCCGAGGTTAAAATACGCGACATCATTTAAAGAAAGCAACGAAGCATGTTTGAATTTAATTAAAGACTTTTGATGATTGATAATCATAGTCATCATTATTCCTAATGCCTATAGGTATTTCAATTGACAATTCTCGCCGCGTCGGGTGGGAACAATGGAACTAGGTTCTTTATTTAATGTCGTCCCCATTAGAGGAAATTATACAGTATATAAATTTAGGATTTATCGGTTTTCTTTGATGGGGTCTACAATTAAAGCCTCGTAGGCCTACACACTACGTACGACGATCGACCGGCGAATCCATCTCCGCCCCATGAGAGCGCTCAACGACACAACACCGTCTGCTGACTGTCGCTGAGTAGACTGCAGATTGTCATAAAAATGATCCGTTATATGCGCGCTTCGTCGCGTTGCGCTATCCATGGAATCGAGTCTGCCGAGAACCGTCAGTGCATTAAAGGATTTGTTCACAAAGTTCAATAGTAGAGCAACCTTAGATGACTTTCGTAGATGGAGGGTCTACACCACCTCAGCAAGGCCCCACCATGGTTAGGGCTGCAAATATATGATTATGGCACCTCTAGATGGCCGGAAATGACCCTCTCAGGACCCCTTTGAAACCGCCACTGTAAATAATGCGATACTTGTAATATCTCAACAACCACGATACTTTTCTCCCGCGGTACTCATCTAAGTTTGACGCATATATAT